AAACACAATAAAATCACATACATTATAGACATAGCCATTCCAAACACTCACAATGTACAAAACACATGCACTGAAAAAATTAGCAAGTACACAGAACTTGCCCAGGAAATAAGGCATCTGTGGAGGATGGAAAGGGTGCTTATTGTACCTGTTGTTCTCTCCTGTACAGGTGTGATACCACACACACTACACGAAAGTCTGGGAACATTAAAATTGAATATGAACCCATACATCACACTACAGAAGGCCAGTATATTGAATACATGCCATATTGTCAGGAAATTCCTGAATACAGACACTGACACACTTATTTAATTTTAGTTTTTGGTTGCTATGCCTTGACTCAGGTCCGGCATAGTACACAGCCACCGGTGTGAACCGAGTATAACTTACTAAACTCAACATAATAATAATAATAACAACAAAAACAACAACAGAAGACATTTCTATTATAAAATGTATTAATTTGAGTGAAAAAGAGAGAAACATAAAATTGAAAAGCATTTGAACTTTATTTTCATTATTATATATTTGATATTTTATAGGGAGTTTTATTTTAAATTTCTTTATATGACATTTTATTTATAAAATTTATTTTTGATGTTTTAAGAAATGCTTACAACAAAAAATACACTTTAAAATGTTTATGTTGTCAAATTGGTTAGTAATAATTGTATATAAATTACTGTTGCATTTATTTTGCTATTTTTAATGTTATATTTTATATCTTTAGTACATTTTAGCTGAGAATAGTAAAATATTATGTATTTTTATAGAATTCTATATAATTTTGAAATAAACTATTAAATTCCATACACGTGAGAAATGATTGTTTTCAAGAAAAAAAAATTGAAGTTTGAACCTATTTTATATTTTTTAAAAACTTAAATTCATCTGTTAGTACAGTGTAATCAAATAATTATTTATTTGAAATTCAAAGAGAATTTTTTCATCATAATTTTTATATGATGATATGCAGACCATTTGATAGTGTAAAATCAAGTAGCAGTAAGTATTTAATAAAAATTATTTTTAATTGAGGCAGTGTTAGCAAAACCTCTTCTATGTAGCTTATAAAATTCTATTTGATCTCAAAATTTTATTGTTCGACTTTTATTAAACTTAGCCATTTTCCATTAATTGCAATGATGAATCCAAAAATTTAATAAAAAATTAGGGTCTATGACTTTGTTTTCAATACACAGTGGAGTCAATGTGACATTGTCCATGCTCCCTGACATGACTGAGCGCATGTAATGGAATTTGGGGATCAAAAATAAAAACAGCATTGTGTGCACTTAATGGAAAATAGGTGTAAAGACTAACAAAACACAGAAACAAAGCAATTGACATTGATTGCTTTGTTCTTGTGTTTTGTTCTCTCCATGTTGAACCACTTTGTTCTTGGATAACCTTTCCATGTTGGTAAGTGAAAAGTTTCTCTGTCCATAACTGTCAAGTGCAAGGATTGCCTCTTCTGTACCTAACCAGTGTAAGGATTGCTTCTTTCTTTTCAGCTTGCCTCAATTTTATTGCAATATGACAGTCACATGATGTCCTAGCAAATTTTATAAAAATTTTAAAAGGAAATAGAAGAGAACGGTTATAAATTTCTTTAGAAACATTGTTTTTATAATATCATATAATCAGATTAATAAGTATAGTAGACACAGGTATAATACAACAGTATTATGTAAGCAGAGAAGTTGTGAATTTATTGACATTTTTATTATTGTGTTGATTATTATTACAAATTTTATTATATTTTTTTTTGGTCAAATTTTGTGTTCAGTAATGGAAATTTAACACATATATTAATTAACACATTTTATATTTATTTTCTTCTTAATTTTAAATAAAGACCTTTGTGTTTATTTAAAATTATGATATATTTTCATTTGCATAATTTAAATAATTGTATAAATCAGAATATTATGTGGAGAAAATAGGATTGATTATATTTCTAATATTAATTAACAGTTCATATGCAAAATATAGATGAAAGAAATTTTTGAAATAATTGACATTTAATGATAGTGACTGAAAGACTCATTAAATCATCTCAAATATTGCAAATTCTTTGAATTTATTTGTAATGTAAAATATATAGAAATTTCTTATTTTTCTTTAAATGTTTCAAATAAATGAAAATGCAATACAATGTGTAATAATTTAAAAAATTTTAATTTTAATTTTAAAATTTAAATATTCTTTTATGGCAATGAGAAAAATGTTTGTTTCAACAATTTGTTTAATGTGATTATTTTTTTCAATGCATTTTGTATTTGCTCTATAAATTTCCAAAGAAACATCATTAGTATTAGTGCAAAAGTTTGAAGTAATTGAATGAAGGAAGCTTTAAGTATCATTAATATAAAACTGGTTGACTATTTTTCTTGTTTTATTTTTTGAAAATTATATGCAAAGCAATGGTGATGTGAATTGCATGTGCTTATAACATGAGATTTCATGGGAGTTTTTGTTGAATTATCAAATACAGTGTAAAAAACAGTTCTGCATTTATCTCAATAATTATACTAAATTTAAAATAGAAATAAATTTTACTCCTTCACATGTATATAAATTTTAAAAGTGTATTTGAAAATTTGTCTGTTTGAATATTCAGATATATTTTATTAAAATGGTACATTGAGCTTTTAATTCCAATATTGCTTTTGGAGTTAGAGCATTTTCATAATTAAAGCTCAATAACTAAAGGTTAAAACTATTTATTATAATGTTAGCATTGTTTAATTATTATTTTAATCTTGCATGAAATTTGAAAAATCTATACTTTCTTATTTGTACTGAATTATTTTTGATAATTTATTTTTAAAAATCAATAGAAATTATAAAATATGCTTAATAAGCAATTATATTAATATGAAGTGTTTATTAGATAAATTTATACAATGCATTATTAATAAAATTATTAAAATGTATTTTTTCAGTGAATCAATGCCCTCTTCCAAATTTCCACTTTCAAGGCCAAGAAGTTGCCATAACCACCTTGCGTGCCAAAAGTTCTCCTTCCATAGAAACTGGTAGTATTCCTGAAATGAAAACATTTCAACAATCCCCTCCAAAAGAAGATTGTTTTGCCAAATATATGACTGGTGAACTGCCATCTCCTTTGTGTACACATGTGATAAATCAACAAGTAAATAAAGTTTATTTTTATTTTAAATAATTTAAAAAAAAATCAAAATAAATACTTAAATTATTAAAAATCTACTTATGATATAACAATGTTTTTAATATGTTTGTGATCTGTTTTAGGTCCAGTCATCCGGTCGTGGCCGTTCACTTGAAAGTTTAGATATGGATGATTCCATTTCTACAGTTATGGCTCATCCCTATTCAAATAATACAGACAGTTGGTATGATACAATTAATTCTTGGAGGCAGTGTGGTTACGATACTGATAGCGAATTTGGCATGCATTCTACTGGCAATTACCAATTGTATGAAACTGATGGTACTGCATCTCTGCATCGGCCCAGAGGATTAGTGAAACCTAGACCTGTCGCAAAAATTATTGCAAAATCTCGCTCTGTTGACGTGGAAGTGGAATCTCCACCAGAAATATTTACAGAAACAGAGAGTTTTAAATCTATTAATTCTGATAACAGTTGGTTGACAGGTTCTCCTCAACATACATCTCTAGTATCGTCTGTTATTAATAATTCGGTTGATCCATACGGATCTTTAAGAGGAAAGAAAATTCCACCACCACCCCCTCCCAAACGAACAAATTCAATTAAAAGTAATGATGATTCTTGTTTAGAAAGAAGCTTAGAAGAAATGAAAGATGAAGCTTTTGCCACTTGTGTTAAAGGATTGGCTTCACATTTTAGCATGACAACTAATGATTTTTCACCTCCATCGGGTGACAGAGATAGACCTTCATCACCGATTGATTCCGAAGATTTTCCTCCTCCACCATCACCTCTTCCTTCTATCATTTCAGAATTGGCTGCAAATGATGATCGCATTGGTGCCAAAGATGATGTGCAATTGCGGGAACTCCATGCCAACTTCCGCCAACGTAGAAAAGACTCTGCTGACTCAAATATTTCCACTTCAAGTACGGAATCTAATTCATTACCTTTTGCCAATGAGAATGTTGGTACTATAAAGCAAAGAGCAGCTAAAGCCCATCCTGCACTGATGATGGAAGAAGCAGTATCTACTGCAGCTTTGCATGTTCAAGGTAAAATTATTAAACTTCCTTTTATTCATTAGAAATTTCAGTATAAATTAAATAAATTTATATTCAAGTAATTTTATTTATTTTGCTGACATAAAATCCATACATATGTAATATTAATTATTAACAATATATTATTATTACGTTATTTGAGATTTCATAATGTTTAGAATAATAATGTTATTATTCTAATTAGGCTCTGTTATGAAATCTCAGAAGCGCTATTTTGTTTTGCAATGGCAAAACCTGACAGTAGCCATAGAATTAATCAGAAATGTTAATTTTTTCAATGAATTTCTGCTGGCTAAAGATATGTCTTAAAAAATACAAAACTAATTTGGAATAACTTTTTGAAAAGCAACAGTAACAAAATTATTATACAGCATAAAATTTTTAAAAGTGATTAGTAATAGCTAATAGGAAAATTATTTTGCTTGTAAGGCATTTAAGATTATTAAGAATGTCAAATTATTGGTTAAATTTACAAGCTTGGAAAAATAATTACTAACTGATAGCAAATTAAATGCTAACTGACATAAGCATTATATTATAAGCATATAAATTTACCAATAATTTGATATTTTTCAAAATAATTCTACAAATTCGAACTGGATAAACATAATGAAAAGTTAAATCTCCACCAACCTCGAAATTAGTCATGCAGTCGTAAAAATTATCACCTTTCTAACATTTTTGACCTACTCCAAAGGTCTTCATCAGGAAATTAGAACATATTGGAATGTTTGTTGAATCTTTGAACAGGAAAATTTAATTTTATATTGAATACAATTTAAATCAGCTGTCATGATATTACCCTTTCTTCTTTGATGTTGATATTGATTTTTTTTTTATCTTGATGTTTTTAACATGGAGGATTGTTGAGAAAGTGGGGAACATATTATAATGAAAGATTGAAGTCCTTGAAATTTTCAAGGCAAACAGAGCAGGAAATTGTCCTTTCTTCTTTGTTATTAATGCAATCTGAAAAGCATGGCAGGCATGCTTTGACAATATCTTCTGAACTGCCTAGCCATACATTATGAAGTATTTGCATGACAGCCAATTTTAAATTGTATTCAATACAAAATTAAATTTTCTTGTTCAAAGATTCAACAAACATTCCGTTATGTTCTAATTTCCTGATGAAGACCTTTGGAGTAGATCGAAAACATTAGAAAGATGATAATTTTCTGTTGGACTAATTTCAAGTTGGTGGAGATTTTACTTACGATATTTTTTGTATCATTCATCTCAGTTATGATTGATCTTTTAAATACAGTGCAATTTCACTAATCTGAACTAATTAATTTACAGAGTTGTTTAGATTAATGAAGAGTTCAGTTTAGTGGTGTTATATATGAAGAAAAGGAGTGAGAATGATCACACACACACACACACACACACACACACACAGTATATCTGTGATTTCTTTGATTTTGGTTGGAACATTTAATGACAGAACCAAATAGTAGGTATTAACTGGGTGTTTACAGGTTCAGATTAGAATGAGAGCATTAAGCATTATGAATAGTTCATTAAATAAACTTTTAGCCTAAATACAAAAGCCAGACAGGTTTCATTGCATTAAATTGTTTTTTTTTAAATTAATTAATTAATTAATAGAATCTTTAAAACAAATTTATTTTTATACTCTTTTTTTAATCACAAATGAACAGTAATCATTTATTGGAAAATAAATCAGCAGTGTATAGCTTGTTCTATGACATGATAATCTTATTCTCATATTCTCTCTTATCTATTCAGTTGGTTTAAAATTTTTAAATAGCTAATTTTATTTGTCACAAGACTGGCAAAGATTAAGAAAAAAAAAAAAATTATTTCAAAAGATAATTAAATATTTATCATCATAATTTATATTTTAATTAACATTCAACAAGAGAAATCTATTTAGCTTAGGATAATAATTCAAATCAAAGAAAGTTTCTAAGTAATTAATGTGTGTATAAATAATTTTATTCATTAATTTGTTGATTCTAGTGAAACTTGTTTATAAATATGTGAGTTGACAAATATTTACAGAGTTGCATTTAAGATTCTGTTCAAATAAGTAATTGAATTTATTTTCTAGTCTTTCCTCACCATTAAAAAGATTACTTATTGAACAGTCTAGCTAAAACTTAAATACTTGATTATATTTCTGTCTATAAATATGCATCTCAAAAAAAAGACTGATAATTAGACTTGAATATATTTTTGTTCTAATCCATGTATTTTTTGCTATATTAACTTAAAATTTGTTTTATTTACTATATTTTCTCTTAGCTTCTGCTTGAAAACAATTAGGTAGAAAACTTATATTCAATAATTCATTGAATAAATTTGTATTAAATATTAGCAACAGCTATATGTATATTAGTATATATTTTGCTAAAATTGATTAACAATTGTTTAAAAAAATAGAGATTTGAATATTTTTTGTTTCAGTTATTTTTATCATAATTTTTGCCACACAAATTGTGCCTTTGATATATCATATGATTTATTAAGCTGTTAATCAATTTTAGGATAATTTATTTATTTAATATACTCACTGACAAAGCTATACACCAGGAAAGAAGCATTGGAATAAAATGAAACTTAATTTCTTACCATCATTTTCATACTAATAATTACAATATTGTAACAAAGAACAGTTTCTTGTGGAACAACAGTGCAGTGTAAATAAATCTTTAATGTCTTTTAAAATCTCCTCTTACCTGGGTACATGTACTAATATGGTGAGGAATGAGTCATACAGGCACTGTATATGATCCTATGATGGATTTGCCTACAAATGTTGCAACTACTACTACAGATTCTTCACATTCATTGAATGCTAAAGTTTGTATTGTTGGATAAGATAGAAATATTGTCCAACAATACCAACTTCTCAATGAATGACATATCTGGAGACCAGACAGGCTGAAGAAATGTGACAAAATGATAGCTGGGGCTTTCCAGGAATGTCTCTATGTATAACCAAGTATTATCTTGCTGAAAATGGCTGTTTGCAGCCCTATGAAAAGTAACATGTTAGGGTGAAGACTCCCTGAAATGTAAATTGTGCTGTCAATGTTCCTTGTATCACTAAAAGAGGATGACCAATTGTTATACAAGATGGGTCCCCAGACCAGCATACTAGCAAGTGAGACAGTGTACCACTCAACAATAAAAGTGAGATTGAACTATTTCCCAGTGATTCTCCACATTCTAGAAATGGATGACTATGTTAGTGTTAAACAGAATTGGAATTTGTCACTAAAGACTGTTGTCTTTACAGTTGCATTATATGATTTACGCAAATGCATTTTCATTTCATGTATAATATTTAAAGATATTAATTTCAATCAGTTTGATTAATTTTCAGTTTTTATAAAATAATAATTTTATCTGAAATGTGTATAATATTGAGGATAAGAAAACATGGTTCTTGACCTGTTTTTATATAATTTATCTGATACATGCTTTAATTTTTATAATCTGTTTTTCAAGTATTGTTCAGAACATTTTAAAATGAAAATTAACATATTGATGTATTTTAATAATAATAATAATAATAATAAGCTACACAAAAGCCTGGGAACAGCTACACAAAAGCCTGGGAACATTACAATTGAGTAGAAATACATACATCACACTACAGAAGGCCACTATATTGAATACATGCCATATTGTTAGGAAATTCCTTAATACTGACACTGACACTGACACACACATTTAATTTTAGTTTTGTTTTGGTTGCTATGCCTTGACTCTGGTCCGGCATAGTACACAGCCACCGGTGTNCTAGCCAAATCATAGGTAAATCTCTCAGAGGCAACCTGTAAAACATCAGCCAACAATCGAACTCGCCTGCCTTCCAACCTATAAGCATGTAGAAATGGCAAAAGCTTTCTCCGTCTCAATCTTGAGCGCCAGCATAAATCATCAAAAATTTGTATATTTTTTAATGCCTCGTTACCTTTTTTCTTTCCAAGATTAGCAAAAATCAATTTCTTGTCTGCAAATGATTGCAACTCCACCAATACCGTATCTGATCGATTAAATTTCACTACCTTAACCATTGGAATAGGTCTTGATTCACCTGTCAATGTATAAAATAGGTTTTGCACCTTCCTATTCAAATCAGAATCATCATCAGTCAAACCTTTAATTAAGATATTTTTCTTTCTCATTTCATTCGATACCTTGTCCAAAGAATGTAAAATCAAACTGTTTTCCCGTTGCAAATCGTCTTTTAATTTAGAAAACTCTCCTAGTTTGACTTCTAACTGAGTTAAACGCCGGTCATGATCATTATGTAAATTAGCCAACCAATCTATCTTCGTAACAACCTCATTTAACGTCGAAAAAAGCTTATCAAATCGGTCTTCCAAATATGAAATAACCTCCCTAGGAATAGACTTACTTGACTCTAACCTTGAAGGGAAGAAATCTTCCAATCTCGCCGTTTTCAATGAAGGTTCACTCGGAGATCGATGTCGTTTTGCTGTGGATGCCGATGATTGAATCTGAGATTGTGGCGGAGTACGATCAACAGGGCCGGGATTTAATTCTATCCCGCCTAAAAATAACAACAACTCAAACACCTTAATCCAAAACTCGATATTTTCCATAATTTAGGCTTAAAAGAAGCACACAAAAAAGTTCACCAACACGCTCAACAGCAAGCAGCGCCCCCCGATGTATTTTAAGAATTTATATTTCCATTTTATGCACAAGTTTCTGAATGAAAGTCAAAAACATTCAGCAACTGGAGAAATACATGAACAACACAACATCAAAACTTATTTAATAGCTTTCTTGAGATATATAAATCAGTAGTCACCAACCAGTGATGTGTGGATCACTGATGATTCATGATGAAATTTTGATAGTCTGTTGAGAAATTTGGACATTGATCAACTCAAGGTTATGCAAAGTATTACAAAAGAAATGCAAAATGCTTGGTTACTTTTCCTCAGTTCATTGGGGTTTTTTTAATTGAAACTAAAACTAAACAT